AAAGGAAAACTCAGGTTGAGGGCAAAGGGGTGGTAACACTCTGCAAGTCTCAGATGGTCTGTGTGCAGGAGGTTCAGTACTGGAGAGCAGGCCGTGGGAGGAAGCTTCTGTTTGCTTTGACGGAGATGAACCCAAATATTATCTTAGCAAAGAGAAGTTGTTAGACTTTCTGCTGTACGGCTCTGTTCCCAGAGCGTTCTGTAACAGTGGAGGAGAGAGGGCTAGTATGTGTGTCACTGACATGTTGGGATGATGCTGAAACAGGGCAGAGCGGAGGTGGCATTGTGGGGGTGGCATGAACCTTATCTCTTCATTTCCCCTTCCAAGAACTGAGGTGACAGGAATCCTTACCCAGCGAGGTCACATTCTGACAGTTCTCCTGCATGACGTCTCTGTAGAGAGCTCTCTGAGTGGGGTCCAGCAGAGCCCACTCTTCCTTGGTGAAATACACAGCCACCTCCTCGAAGGTCACCGGCCCCTGAAAGAGCAAGAGTCCTACACTCAGTACCTGCTGCCCCACTGACACCCCCACTATTCATGGGGGAAAGGAGCCAATCAAATGGATGCTCTGAGAGAGAGACAGTCAACAAAGTCCTATCCCCACACTGCTGAGAGCAGCCAGGAGGCATCAGGGTAAGGGGACAAAGAGAGAGCCCCTTGTCTCTCCCAGAAGATCCATCACACACCTTCTACCCAGAGACTGATACAGGAGATGGAGCCCCCAGTAGGGTCCAGGCACAGCCCGATGGTAGGAATCCCAACACCCTCCCCACTGCCAGCAGCTGGATGTGAGGGGCAGGACATCTTCTCTACGCCTCCCTGGTGGGTGCCCCCTTTCCATGTCACACCAGCCTCTGGCTAGCAGGCTGAGGGTTCAGCACTGGAAGTCTGGTCAGTTTTCCCCGCCCTGCCCAGAGAGTTGGTTTCTCTGTTTCCTGTTTCACAAATTAGGGAATTTTCTCCCCCAACAACCAAGCATTTGTTCCGTGGAGCTAGGCCCACGTTAAACAAGTCCCAGCAGGTTTGTCACACTCTGTCCCCCTCCCTTTCTTCACCCAGAGTATTCCCTGCCCCCTCCAGCCCTAACTCCCCAGAAGTTGCCACCTCTTCAGTATTTACTGCCCCTCTCCCTCCAGCAGGAACCCACCAGCAACCCCCCAATAACCCCTACCTGAGCTGGCTCCACTGCAGCCATTTCTCTTCCCTGTCCCATGGGAGGCTGGGATGAGCTGGAGCGAGACGTGGGCGTCATTCTGCAGCCTGGCAGGGCGGGAAGGGCAGTTGTGGAGGTTTCAGAACAGGCTTTAGTTCATTTCACATCACAATTCCCCCAGGCCCTTTCTCTGCAGACACAGATTGTAGATTCTGCCACGCTGGGAACATGCTCAGTCCCCATAGTGCAGCACAGACCTTGCCCCTGTCCTCTCCCCTCCACCCACCCCCACTCCGCCAACCAGGACTAAACCCATCGAGACATTTTCAAACCCTCCCACCAACAGACTGTGAATTAAACACTGGAATAGACCAGAACCAAAATAGCCCCTTTGGGGGGATTCCCCCTGACACTGTCCCCAGGGCAGCACACTCCTGCAGCAGGGGGAACAGGGAGAGTCAGGCTGGTTTTTCCTCTCTCTGCTCCTCACCTTGTTCACAGGTGACTCTGCGCAGGGATGCTGCAGTGAGTTTGCCTGAGTGGGTTAGAGATCTGGAAATCTGTCACCGCCCCATTTGTCCTCCTCTTTCCTAGCACCCTACCCCCCTGGATGGGAACTGTGGTCACCATCCCATTCTTGGGGGCTTTCTCTTTTCCGTGACTGGCCCCGCTCTGCACGTGCAGGGAAGGGGGTACCAGTCAGGAAGACCTGCCTTATCCACACAAGTTACTGGACAGAATAGAGAGCCAGGGGAGAAATTGAAGGGTTTGGTGAAGCAGGTCAGCCTTGCTGACCATGATCCCTTCTGGCCTTTATGGCAGCAGCTCTGGGCCCCGCACACCCGGGGAGCAGAGATGGGGGGGGGGGCACTGTGCAGAGTCAGGTACCTGCCCAGCCCCAAGGGCTCAGTCACCTGGAGTCTCAGCTCGGGAGCTGCCGTCAGCACAGTCCGGGGCGATTTCTAGCCGGAGAAGGTCCCCCCCAGCCGGGCACGGAGGGGTTAATGCCGGGCTCTCCCCAGCACACACCCCGCTGGGGAAGCAGCAGCTGCTCCGCTCCCAGGTCACAACGGAGGCAGCAGCGTCTGGTCTCTCAGGAGCTGCCCGGGGTCTGATGCTCTCGGTTCTTTGTTCTCCCGGCTCCTGCCTCCTTCCTCCCGGCACCCACCGCTCCCAGCTGCTCCAGCCCCTTCCTGTGCCCTGCAAACCCCACCCGGGCTGCAGCGCTCGCCGGGGCTGTCTGCAGTGCTGGGACTCGCCCCCCAGGACAGCCCCGGGCTCTGCTGAGCCGGGCCCCCCAGGGGATGGGGGGGGGGGAGGCGCTGGGGGCGGGCAGGGAAGTGACTCTGACAAGCGGCCCCTCCTCAGCCCATCTCTGCTCCCCTGCGTCTGTGGCTCCCAGCGCTGCTGGTCTCACTGACACCCCCGGCTCTGGCTCCCCTCAGGAGGGGCCGATCCAGCTCCAGGAGAGCACGTGCCCCCCGGGGAACGGGACAGGGATCAAGTGTCCCAGCCAGAGGGGGGAGGGGGCAGCCCAGGAGTTCTCCGACTCGAGGTTACAGCCCCTGGGGGGGAGGTTATTATGTGGGGATCACAAGCCCCCAGCTCTGCAGGCAGCAGCAGCACAGAAGTGAGGGTGGCAATGGAGCACAAAGTCTGCTGTGAAAAGTGATATTGACAAATGTCTTCACAGCTCCAGTATTAAACAGTATTTTTTTAAAATTCTGCTTGTAACAATAATTCAATCAAAGTGTATTTCAGGCTTAATTTAAAAGTGGTGAGAAAAGTTAAATTAATTTTAAAGAACCGGGTTATAAATTAAGCATTTAAAATAATGTTAAATATAAAAAATGTGTTTTGAATTGATAAGGGGGGTCACACTCAGATGCTTGCTTTGTGAAATGGGTCATCAATTCAAAAAGTTTGAAAACCACTGGGTTAGACAGGGAAAGAAGAGAGAGAGACTGAAAAAGGCCTGCAGGGGAAATACCTGGGGAGAGGGGTTCCCAACTCCCAAATCTGCCCCGCTCCATTTACTGCCCCATCCCTGGCCTGTATCTCCAGTGCCGAGGACATCACAGATCCCCCTCTTTGCCAAGGGGGCTTGCACAGGTATTTCCTTCCTGCCAGGCCCCTGCCTCACTGAATAGTTGCATAAATTCACTGGTGCTCCTCCCCTCTCCCTGCTTCTTTCTGTGACCCTTCGGCCAGTTGGACTCAGCATCAACACGGGCCGGGTTCAATATCTCGGGTTCCTTTTCAACAGCACAACACAGAACCCGCTCGAGCCCCCACCCAGTGACCTGGGACAATTCCACACCACCCTTGGGTGCCTCTAGAGGCAACACTTCCCCACTCGCAAGCACCGAGTCTGAGGCTGTGTCTACACTACCAATGCCAATGACGGGTTCCGCTTGATAATGACCCACATCAGTGTGGACTGACGCATGTTCATTTTCATCCTCTGAGTCAGGAAAACTACAAAAGCCTCCTCTTTTGTACTGGGACAGGCAAAAATGAGGCAACACTAAATTATTCTGATTGCTAAAAGCAGGTTTAGGGGGTTGTGTATTTTGGGGGAAAGAATGAATACTGATCCTTCTAACTAGCCGCGTGAGATAAAAGAAAGAACACAGACAAACCTTGTCAGTAAAGGCTAATGTCCTAAATGGGAAATCAGCAGCGGTTTGTAGCTGGGGGAGTGTATAGTCTGAATGTGTATGACCCGACCCCAGCCCCGCATAGCAGTAGGGCTTGGCACACTCTCTGGGCATTGGTGTGATGGCTGAGTGGTTAACCAAGCAGTGACAATCCAAGAAGGTTCCTTGAGTAGGTTTCACTCCTGAGAAGATTCTGCACCCAGGAGTAAAGTTTGAATCTTGCAGATGGCCTGGAGAGTATGCATCAGGCTGCCTCTGCCCAGGAAATACCACACTGCTCTTCCAGGAAAGGATGCCCTGCTGCAGAAGAAACCATGTGACTGGAGTCATAGCTAAGGCTATGATTTAATCACGGGTATTTTTAGTAAATGTCATAGACAGCTCATGGACAAGAAACAAAAATCATGGCCCCCGACCTATACCATAAATACCCCTGATTGAATCTTGGGGGTGGCGGGGGTGGAAGCCCAGGGGGCCCACAGCACCACTGCTGGGTGGGGAGGGGGGAAGTCGCAAAGGGCCCACTGTGCCACTGGGGAGGGGGAAGCCCCAGGGGCCCTGCTGCCACTTTGGCCACTGCAGGCAGGGGAAGCCCTGTGGGGCCTGTGGGGTAGGGCTCTGCTGGGGGTTTATTCCTTCCTTTAATTGCTGTGGAAGCACAAACAGTGAAAGAATTTGCTCCTCTTTTCTATGCGGAACAAATAAAAGCAGGTGGAATTATTTCCAGGGCTGTAAGTAAGAAAAGACAAGCTAGCAGAGGATGGTTGTGATCCATTAAATTCTAGGTTATGGGCCCAGCACACTTCCGCTACGCCACTTTGCTGTACAGGTAGAGGCCTCCATGACTCATTCACAGTGCTGCTCTCCTTAGTTGGCCGAGCTCACAGGCTGTGCACTGGAGAGTTGTGCCCATGGGATTTAGACGCTTTAGAGGAAGGTGATTGTACATGTGTCACATCTCCAACGCTGAACTGAAATGTGGTCGCTGCATTCTCAGCCGGGGTCTCCTTAGTCTGATGATTCAGCAAAACCTGCCCCTTCCCCTGCTTTTCTCCTGGTAAGATCCAGCCAGTCTCCTGCTCCCCCTTCCAGGCTGAGGCGGGTTCCCCGATTCCCCGAGTGTCACAAACCCCCTGCGAGGAGCCCTGCCTGGCAGGGCCAGGCCCGGGTAAGAGCCGCCCCTTCCTGCCCCCAGCCCGGGAAACCTTTGTTTTTGCAGCGGGGCCATGGCCGGGGCCGGGAGCGCAGCGCGGAGGCTGCTCCAGCCCTGCAGCCCGCGGGGCAGCGCGGTGGGTCCGGGGGCAGCGCGGAGCGGGCAGGGCCGGGGGTGGGGGGCGGAGACACGCGTGGGGCGGACACGCTCCGGCCGGGAGGGGCCCGGCTGCCTGGTTCGCCCCCTGCCCGGGTGGGTCCCCGAGCTCCCCGCGGCCGGAGAGGGGCTGCCCGGGGCTGCGGGGGGCGAGTGTCCCGGGCGGGGCGGAGCAGCCCCTGCTGCGGGGCCGGAGCGACGGAGCCCGGGAGCGGCTGGGCCGGGAGCTGCAGGAGGGGCCCGGTGCGCGGTTCGGCTGCAGAGCTCGGAGCCCAGGCTGGGCCAGGGAGCGAGGGGATGGGGGAGCTGGGGGGTGGATCTGGGGTGTCAGAGCCGGGCTGTGGGGTGGGAGAAGCGGCTGGTGCTGGGGACTGTGGGGCTGCTGGGAGTTTGGGATGTGCTGGGGGGTCAGGGCTGGGGTTTGGGGATGTTTGGGAGGCTCCAAGTCCAGTTCTGGCCCTGCGGGAGCTTTGGGGGCTGGAGCTGGGGAAAGGGGGGGGACTGTCTGAAGTTGGCTGCTTGGGATGTGGCTGAGGCCTGGGGATGTGGGGAGCTGGGGGTTGGGCTGCACCCCTGTCACTGCAACTTGGGGCCCTGCATTTTCTCTGGAAAAGCTGCTCCCTGTTTCACCCTCTCCTCTCAGTCTGAGTCCCAGCGACTCTGCACAGGAGTCTACAGGGCAGGATGGGCCATGAAATCTGACAGCTGGGAGGCCGTTTGCAGCAGTTTCTAACCCTCCCTCCCCTGCTTCTTCCAGGATGTACCAAAAAAGCATCTGGCCCCTCTGGGAAAAGAGAGTGAAGCAGCCAAAGCGGAGGAGGAGCAGCAAAGTGAGGAGCTGCTGGTAGGTGCCCAGAGCCCCCCACCACTTAGGTTTGCTTGGCATAAGAATGACCTGGTGAATGCAGAGCCCACCCTGCCAGCCTCACTGGAGCCCAGGGAGAGGCAAGGTCAGGCACGGGCGTAACATGATGCCCTTAGGATCAAGGAGGCTGCTGGGCAGGAGAGGGTCAGTCTGTGTTAGCCCAGAGATCTGCCCACCGGCTGTCTGGGGCCTGGTCCACACTAACCCCCCACTTCAAACTAAGATACGCAACTTCAGCTACGTTATTAACGTAGCTGAAGTCGAAGTACCTTAGTTCGAACTTACCGCGGGTCCAGACGCGGCAGGCAGGCTCCCCCGTTGACTCTGCGTACTCCTCTCGCGGAGCAGGAGTACCGGCCTCGACGGCGAGCACTTCTGGGATCGATTTATCGCGTCTAGACAAGACGCGATAAATCGATCCCAGAAGATCGATTGCTTACCACTGGACCCGGAAGTAAGTATAGACGTACGCTTTATGTCACAGTGACCAGGGATCCTTTCTAGCTCCTAGGAGGATGGGGAGGAAGGAGATGAAATGTGGGCTGCAGAGATGGAGGATTTGGCTCAGTGCAAGTTGATGAGGTTTTGGGGAGAAGTGTCCCTCCTGTTGGTGATGTACAGCTCACCCCAGCCCTGAGCCCTCCTCCCTTCCCAGGATAAATGAACTTCCCATCACTCACCACAAGAGATCTTGTGTTCTGGTAAATAACTCTGCCACCCGCCCCGAGGCGCATTTATAATTTTTCCCTGTTACTGAGCAGATGAATTTCAATGTTGATAAATGCAAAGTAATGCACATTGGAAAAGAGAATATCAAATACACATAAAATAATGGGGTCTAAATTAGCTGTTACCACTTGGAGTCATTGTGGATAGTTCTCTGGAAACATCCACTCAATGTGCAGCAGCAGTCAATAAAGTCAACAGAATGTTGGGAATCATTAAGAAAGGGATAGATAATAAGAGAGAAAATATCATATTGCCTCTGTTTAAATCCATGGTACGTCCACATCTTGAATACAGTATGCAGATCTGGTCACCCCATCTCAAAAAAGATACATTGGAATTGGAAAAGGTTCAGAAAATAGCAACAAAATGATGAAGGGTACGGAACACCTTCTGAGTGAGTAGAGATTAATAAGACTGAGGCTATGGCTACACTACATAGCGTTTAGCAACATGGCTGTGCCGCTACAACCGTGCTGCTAAAAGGCACGCAGTGTAGCTGCTGTTTGTTGACAGGAGAGAGGTCTTCTGCCGACAAAAATCTTCCACCCCCCCAAGCGGCAGCAGCTTTGTTGGTACGAGAGCGCTCCTGCCGACAAAGCGCTGTTCACCCTGGCGCTTTTCATCTGTAAAAATTTGTTATTTGGGGGGGGGGGTGTTAACACTCCAGAATAACAAGTTTTGCTGACAAAGTGCCAGTGTAGACAAAGCCTGAGGCTGTTCACCTTGGAAAAGAGACGACTAAGGGGGGGTATGGTAGAGGTCTATAAAATCATGACTGGTGAGGCGAAAGTAAATAAGGAAGTGTTATTTACTCCTCATAACACAAGAACTAGGGGTCACCCAGTGAAATGAATAAGCAGCAGGTTTAAAACAAACAGTATTTCTTCACACAACGGACAGTCAACCTGTGGAACTCTTTGCCAGAGGATGTTGTGAAGGCCAAGATACTAACTCGGTTAAAAAAAAAACTAGAGAAGTGCATGGAGGACAGGTCCATCAATAGCCATTAGCCAGGATGGGCAGGGATGGTGTCCCTAGGCTCCGTTTGCCAGAACCTGGGAATGGGCGACGGGGGATGGATCACTTGATGATTACCTGTTCTGTTCATTCCCTCTAGGGCACCTGGCATTGGCCACTGTCAGAAGACAGGATACTGAGCTAGATGGACCATTGGTCTGACCCAGTATGTCCATTCTTATGTTCTATGTTTCCCTGTTACTGAGCCACCCTCTCCCTGTTGCAGAAACAGACGGAAACCGAGAGGCAGAAGATCGTCTGGGAGTGGAAGGAGCTGCGAGGGTTTCTGGAGGAGCAGGAGCAGCGGATGCTGTCCCGGCTGGAAGAGCTAGAGAGAGCCATTGTCCAGAGAAGGGATGAGGGCATCTGCAGCCTGTCCTGGGAGATTTCCCTGCTCAGTGAGAGGGGAGGAGAGAAGGGGCAGCAGCCGCTGAGCCAACCACTGCAGGTCAGACTGTCATTGCAATGATCATATGCAGTGTTTCTATAGGAGCTTCTGAGCCCTAGACCCCAAAGCATTTTACAAAGTGGGGTCAAGGGCATTATCCCTATGGGACAAATGGGGAAAGTGAGGCAGAGGGAGGGGCAGAGCCCTGGCCAAGGTCACACAGTGAGTCTGGCAGTGGTGCCAGGGTTGGGTCCTGGGAGTCCTGGATGCTGCAGCCCCAAGACCTTCTCTCCTGGAAATGTCTGTCTGCATTTGCACTTGGAGGGTGAAATCCCCTCCCCCACTATGCTGAGGTCCCGAGCAGGCCTAAGGCCCCTCTCACTGCAGGTTAATGGGTTTAGTGGGGCCAGGGGCCTTCTGGGTCTCTCAGCACTGGGGGGAATTTGGTTCTCAATGCAGAGAAATATCTTCTGCCTGTAAAGTGCCTGGGGAGAAGGTTTCCGCAGTGGCGACCTGCCCGCAGGGATTGCTGGGGCTGCGTAGGGGAAAGTCCCGGGTAGGGGGCGGCAGCTGCTCTGGGAATGTAAACCTGAAATTCCCCTACTGCCCGAGGCTTCAATGGTGACTCCCCTGCAGAGCACGAGGCCGCCCCACCCAGGGACACTCCCACTGACGGCCTCCTCTTTCTCTCCCTCTTTAGGGTGCTGGGAGCACTGGGGGCAGGTAAGTCCTGGGCTCCATTTCGCTCCCCCTCATAGGCCGTTAGGTTTGATAACTGCACTGAATAGGAAGCTGCCCCCTGCCCTTGGAGCATGTGATTCTGTCTCCCCTAGTGGCTGACTCAGGTAGGAGAAGAGCCGTTTACTGTCTGATCGCTAATGAGCTCACAGCAGGGCTGCTAGACATAGGGTCGATGGGACAGACCAGGCCTGTCTCCTGGACTGATGTGGCCGCGTCACGTACTCAGAGGGTGCAGAATCTCAGCTTTCACATTTTTTAAAGTGAGTTGCTGGCCCTCAGCACCTCCGCAGTGTAAACGGAGACAGTGTTGCCTTGCTAGGGCTGGTAGCAGCCTGAAGCCGTAGCTCTGGGAGTATGAACTCTTCTGTCCCCTGTTAATGTCATCTGAGAGTCAACTGAAATGATGACACTTCGATGTCAACATTAAACGTTCTGTGGCTGATCACTTGAGCAGGTGGATCGGGGAGGGGGTGGGAGTGAAGCCTTTGTGGGGTGGGAATAGGGGGTTTCTGTGGGGAGGGAAGAACAGAGGAGAGACACAAGGACAAGGAAGGAAGAGAGAAATGGAGAAAGGAGGGTGGGAAAGGAAGGGAAACACAGGGAAGAACTAGCAGGGGCCCAACAGGGGTGTCAGGGAGGGGGCTGTTTTTCTCCTGCGTGACACTGAGTGTGACAGACAAAGACTTGGCAAAATAATAAGAACTAAAATTATATTTCAGATACGAAGGGCAGATTCTCCCCTTGTTCCTTGTACGTGGATGTCCCATGGAGAGCAGTGGGTGTTCTTCTGTGAATGGAGCAGGGCACAGAGTCCTAAACTGATGCCCTGGGCCATTGACCATAACGGACGGTGCAATATGGCCCTCTCTGTCAAATGAGCTGGACGCCCCAGGGTTACTGCTTCAGCTGAAGGGCTCGAGGGTTTGGTGTTTAAGGGCCCATATTCATTCCCTGCTGGAGACCTGGGCTTTGTCTGTGGCCACTGTCAGCATGTAGGACCTGCCCACTCTTTGGTCTGTGTCTCCTCCCTTTCTACATAATCCCAGTGCTGGTGCCCCTTGTTACTGCAGTAAACCAGTGTAGGGGGTGGCTCAGCCCCCCACAGAACCAGAGCGTCCCTGAGAAAGCTACAGAACAATGTCTCCGTTCCTTGCTCTCTAGTGTCTCTCCACTTCCCATCTCTGGGGAGCACAGGGCTGAGATGACTCACCATGACAATGACCATCTCAGGCTACAAAGCTCAGATCCAGGTTTTCTGAAGTTTGGGGGTTGCTGGGCTCAGGGTCGGGGAATCAGGCCTATTTCTCAGCCCTCCTTTCCCCAGCAGGGAGGACGGGATGTTTCAGAAGCCAGAACCGGCGTTTGCGGAGCTGGAGAAGAGACTCAGCGATTTCTCTCTGAAAAGTGCCATGCTGCAGGAGGTGCTGCTGGGATTCAAAGGTGAATTGGAGTCTGGGGGTGGCGTCTCCTCTGGTTAGAGTGACCCTCGCCCTGGGGAGGAGTCGGGGACTCTAGTGATGTCACTGATCCTCGGCTCCATCTCACAGCCCAGCTCAGCGAGTCGCCCTTCCCCATGGAGTAGTCCTGTGGGGCTGGCTCTGTCTGCAGCGGCTGCGTTATCGGCCTCTGATCTCTGTCACCATCTCATAGTTAACAGCAGTTACATTAATAAGCAATGGGGATTTCTCCATGAATGCGAGGGCCTGAATTCTCACCTCTCCCATCTTCTTCTTCCCCTAGAGACACTGCGACGGGAGCTGGGGAGCGACACAGGTACGTGTCTGTCTCTGACTGGCCATGGGGAGATTTCAGACCAATAACCATGTTAACCACAGGGGATCGCAGCCTCCAGCACCTGGAAGCTGTGTAACAATGTGAAGCGATGTTACTTTGTTCTTGCACCACTATATTTTCAACTGACTTCTCTTAAATATTTTAGCTCATCAATATCACGTAAGCATTTAAAGTGTTTTGCAGTTTTTTTAGTATTCATTAATTTTTTTGCCTTTATTTTCTTTAATTATTGCATTTTTTACTGACTACATTAATTTTAAGAATTTTATTTTGCAGTTTTAATTGCAGTAATATTAATAGTGTTTTTAATTAAGTTTACATAGTCTGATTTTAAAGCTCTTTTTTAAAGACCACTAAGGTCTTTGACAACTTTTCCTGTTTTTGAGTGGCTGCTCGATACTTTTTTTTTAAAAAATACAAAGGCTGAGGTTTTTTTTAAACATATTTATTTGAAAGTTTTTTAGTAAAGTTAGAGTTTTTTGGCTTTTTAAAAAAATAGACTTTTTTTGTTGTGACTTTTTAAATGGGTAATGAATTCAAATTTTTTAACTTATAATTATTTTAGTGCACTATTTACCTCTTGTGACACAGGTTGTAGCTGATTTTTACACTTTAAATAAATAAAACAGCTATTAGCATCTAATTTTGTTAAAACAGCAATTCAATATTTCTTTTTTGCATAACCTGCACTTCTTTAAGAATGCAACGTTTGGTTCTTTTAATTAACTTTTGGCTCTAAACTTTTTTTTTTGTGCTTACATTATGCCTTAAATTAATTTATATTTCTAGGAATGATTGTATTAATTTAAGATAGAATCTTAATTTTTTTTCCCCCAATACATTCCTAGCCATCCCGATGATAATTAATTTCTGGGAAACATCCTCAGCAGAATTATTTGAATGTGTTGCACCAGAGAGTAAAGGCAGAGAGGCAGTGGCTTTTGGGAAACAGGGTAGGTTTCATTACTAATGCTGCTCTTAAAAAGAAGGGTCTTTTTAGAAAAATAGTTTAACTTACAAGCACTGAGAGACTTTAAGAAAGTCACTAATCACGGGAGCAATGGGTCTCTTTGGAACATATTTTAACTGACAAGCCCTTACAGCCTTTCTGAGAAACAGGATAGAACTATGGACAACATTAAGTGCAAATTAATAATCATGCATCATGAGGAGAAAGAGGAGGGAATGCAAGTTAAAATATAATGAAAACAAAGCCTCTCAGAAAGGAAATATATCAGTTTAGTAGCAGTGTTGCCATATCAGGGGTGAGGTGGGAGATGATTTTCTCCCCCCCCTCCCATCTCTTTTTAAAAGTCCGAAAAGGAATAAAAGTAGGTGGCATAGTTTATTTTTTATTATTTTGTTTACTAATTAAATCCATGTCCCTAAGACCAAATTTGGCATAGGTAACTTTGTTCCCACGTTTTCTTGTTCACCAAGCATAGATCTTAGTACTGTCCCTGAACTACATCATTAGCCCCCTTTTGTTTGGACTAATTAAATTTTCTTTAGTTGGTCTTCTTGCACCTGTGCATGGCATTCATGGATGAAAATAATTTAACCTACTTTTCATCAACTTGTTACTATAGGGTATTTTAAGATCTTATGAACTTTCGTCTTCCTTTTACAGTGAAGTAAGGAAGAGAGTTCAAAATGTGGGTGTTATTGGAATTAATAGTTCCCAGGGTTGGTCCATATATGCCATAGTACTTTGCTCATTCATGCTTTGTCCATATACAATGTAGCACTCTCTTCCCAAGCATAGTCAATGATGATACAAAATAATGATCTAGGCTGGTGTTTCTCAGCTGGTGGTTTGCGACCCCCGGGGGCTCAGGAAAGGCACTCAGGAGGCTGTGAGATGTTGAGTGTTTCATTATGATCTAAAGCACAGAAAATCTCACTCCCCCACTCCTGCACTCTCCTGTTCATTGTGGACAAGTATTCTCTGTCAGCCTCTAGAAATATACAAGTTATATATAGACTCAGCATGGATACATGTTTTATTCTTACTTTTTTAGTAAATGTTTGGGGGTCGGAAAAAATGTGGCTTCCAATAAGTGGTACTTGCTTACTTATTTCAGCTGGGAAATTAGGCAGTTTTCAGCTGTGCACAGTAACCCTTTCATTGCCTGTATCACAGCCAGCGAGACTGAAACCCCTGCGGTGGTTAGTAGAGATGGGGACGAGGCAGAAAGTTTGGATCCAAACCGGCATTCAGTGCTGTCAGCAATCACAGGAGAGTAAAGGAACCCAGGGATCGTTGGTCACTAAGTCTCCCGAGGAGAGGGAGGGGAGAGGGGGAAAGAGAAGACAGAAAATGAAGGAGAAATAAGTGAGGGGGGGCGGAGGTCACAATCTCCCAAACCTGCCCACAACCAGTCATAGAATCAATAAGTCTAAGGCCAGAAGGGACCACTGGATCATCTGTCCTGACCTCCTGTCTAGCACTGGCTGCCAACACCATCCAGCACCCGCCCACTAAACCCAACCGCTGGAGTGAGACCAAAGTCTTGCAGCCCACAGGAAACTGGACTATTATATGCCCCAGGCAGAAAATAGGAGGGACCGAGGTGCACCAGTGCCCCAGACTCCTGAGGTGGCATGGAAATGGTTAAGTGAGATATTTCTGGGGAATCCTAGTGAGTGCCCCACACTGCATAGGAAGATGAAAACCGCCCACTGACAAACCTGACCTGGGGTGAAAATTCCTTCCCCATCCCACCTATAGTGTCAGTTAGACCCTGAGCATGGGAGCAAGAACCAGCTAGCCAAGCCCTGAGAGAGAGAGAGAGAGACACTGAGTGATCAGTGCCACCTCACAGCCCTGGTCCACCCTGCCCAATATCCTGTCTTCTTCTCTGGCCATTCTTGAAGCTTCAAGGAAGGAGATTAAATAAACCCTCTCAAAGTACATTGTGGTGGGAAAAATCCCTTCCTGACCCCTACCAGTGGTGGCTGAAACTCCTGAAGCATGAGAGTGAGGAACGTAATACATAAAATGGATGTGAGCCCCACTTAATGTTCCACTATTTGTCTTATTGAGAATGGCTTCCATCTTAATATCACCAGCAAACTTCATTTCATTTACTGCACCAGCACTGGGCAGACTTTGTCCTGTCCCTGCCTCCTCCTGGTTCCCATGGTGGGGGAGTTGCTCTCAGGGTTTTAAAACTAGCACAGTGGGTTTAGTGCTGGTGGGAGGGGCTGTGTCTGGGCTGTGGTAAAGTGATGGAATGTTTTCCCAGCATGCGAGTCAGAAACATCTTGTGCAGGGAAAGGGCTGGGGCAAATCATGATGTGATAGGAACTAAAGGCCCTTCTGAAATCTTCCCTGTCACCCTTCTCACCCTGACAGGTGGCAGAGTAACACCCACCTTTGACTCCAGATTGTCCCAGCTTCCCACGGGACAGGGAAGGGAACTGGCTGTAGTGGAGCCAGTCCAGGTAGGGATTATTGCGCGGTTGCTAGTGGGTTCCTGCTGGATGGAGAGGGGCAGGAAATACTGAGGGCCTCGGATCTTTGGGGAGTTCAGTCTGGAGGTGGGAGGGGGGCAGGAAATACCCAGGGTGGAGAAAGGGAGGGGAACAGCATGTGGCAAACCTGCTGGGAATTGTTTAACTGAAGTCCTGGATTCTGGGAACAGACCCATGGGGTTTGGGGGAGGAAATTACCCTATTTGTGGAATGGGGTTGTGTTGGGGGTGGGGAAACGCTGGACAGCCCTGGGAAAACGTATCAGATTCCCAGTGCAAGAACATAAACCTACTCGCCAAAGGCTGCTATGGGATATGAAGACGCGGAAGTGGGACGTAGAGTAGATAACCCCTCCCCTTCCTTCCAGCTGCTGGCAATGGGAAGCGTGTTGGGACTCCTACTGGGGAGCCAACCCTGGAGCCTGCTGGGGGCCCCATCCCCCACATCAGCCTCTGGCTTGTAGGTGTGTGATGAATGAGAAGACCCTTCCCCCTCTGTCTGCTGGGAGGGATGAGGGGATCTCTATCTCCCCTCCTGTTTTGCCTCCTGGCTGCTCTGAGCAGGGTGGGGGTGGGACTCTGCTGACTGAGCCTGCCAGAGCTTCCATTTGATTGACTCCTTTCCCTCCATGAATAGTGGGGCTGTGACTGGGGCAGCAGGTACTGAGTGTTGGACACTTCCTCTTTCAGGGGCCGGTGACTTTCGAGGAGGTGGCTGTGTATTTCACCAGGGAAGAGTGGGCTCTGCTGGACCCCTGTCAAAGAGCCCTCTGCAGAGATGTCATGCAGGAGAACTATGAGAGTGTGACCTCGCTGGGTAAGGATTCCTGTGCCCTCGGTTCTTAGAAGGGGAAATGAAGAGTTAGGGTTCACGCACCCCCCCCACAATGCCACCTCTGCTCTGCCCTGTTTTAGCAACAGCCCATTGAGTGCATTGAAATGGGGCAGACTAGGTCCCTCAGGGTTCACATGCACCTCCCTTCATATCGCAGTCACAGCTCTGCCAAGCTGCTCCAACTACTCCCTCCACCATCCAGTTACAGCTACAGCTGACCCAGTGCACACAGCTGGAGGGCATGTGGATAAATGCTGGTATTCCCACCTGTGAACACAACACAAACAATGGCACATTCTTAGTCCTTCATATCTATTGTAGAATCATAGATTTTATGGCCAGAAAGGGTTATTAGGTCATCTAGTCTGACCTCCTGTATAACACAGGTCATAGAATTTCATCCAGTTACTGCTGTATTGACCTGAATACCTTGTGTTGGACTAAATCCTCCTCCAGAAAGGCATCCACTCTGACTTGAAGACTTCAAGAAATGGAGAAACCGCCACTTTCTTTGTTAGTTTGTTAACCTTTGCATCAGCCTTACTGAGCCATTCCCAGTGGCTAGTGCCAGCTGCAGGGCTAGGGGCAGAGCTAAGGTTGCATTTTAGGGGTGGTGTGTATATTAACTCTTCCTTTTCTGGTTTTCAGAGGTTTAAGTTTAGCCACCACCAACATAGTGGAACGGCATGAAACAGAACTGGGCAACCTGTACTCAATATTTATGTAGGTTATGGGCATTTGATTTCCTTATTTTTTTAATAGACTGTTTTGGCACTCTTGGGGTATGTCTACACTACAGGATTAATCCGAATTTAGATAATTCGAATTTGGGAAACAGGTTGTATAAATTCGATTGTGCGCGGCCACCCTAAGCACATTAATTCGGTTTTTAACCACATTAATTTGGTGGTGTGCGGCCACACTACCCCATTACTTTAACCACAGTAATTCGGTGGTGTGCGGCCACACTAACCCTAATTCGAATGAACAAAATCGATTTAGGCGCTACTCCGCTCGTCGAGGTGGAGTACAGAAATCGATTTTAAGTGCCCTTTAATTCGAATTAACTGGCTCTGTAGTGTGGACGGGTGAAGGGTTAATTCGGATTAACGCAGCTAAATCCGAATTAAAGTCGTAGTGTAGACCAGGCCTTGGTCTGCATGAGAGATTTTGCCAGCATAATTCTGTCAATTAAGGATGTGCTTTTTCGCATCCCTAACAAACAGCGCTCTGCTGACAAAACTTTGCAGCTCAGAAGAGGCCAGAGTCTGCTAGGGGATTTTAAACCACTTTAAAATATTGCTCTCAGCCCTGAAATTTTGGAATCAGGGGGAAACTTCTAATAGGAACTCCTTCAGAATGCAACCAAAACACACAATACACGTAGCCTGAGTGTAGTGGGAGGAAAGGGATAGATATGTGGAAGACTAGAGGGAATCAGGGAGGGATGGGTACCATGGAAGGAAGAGGAGGTGAGGAATCAGAGACAGACTCTCCTGGGAACAGGGAGTGTGGTGGGTTGGGGGAGTGGGAGACTGGGAATGGAGAAAAGGGAGTGGAGGTCCCAGCATTTGTGCTGTTGGAGGGGGAGGATTGGGTAGGAGATCTGGGATACTTGGAAGTGGAAAGACTGAGGATAGTGGGAAGGGGATGGGGAGTGGTTGCTCCAAGGAGCAGGAAGGATCTGGTGGCAGTGGGAAGGGAAGGTTTCAGGGAGGCAGATATTTGGGGCCCTCCACGAGAATATCCTTGCCAAAGTCTCTGAGTTCTCCATAAGCAAAGCTCAGAACCAGTACTCCATCCTTATTCTTCTTGACCTATCAGCCACCTTTAATATCACTGACCATGGTCGTCTTCTTGACATCTTGTCTTCTTCCTGACTCTCCTACCTCTGTAACCACTTCTTCAGAGTGTCCTTAGGAAGATCGTCCTCACGCCCACTCCAGTTTTCTGTGGGGGTTCTACAGGGCTCAGTCCTTGGTCACTTCTTCTTCACTTTATCTCTGGGAAATCTCACCCCCAAACACAAATTCAGCTACTGTCCCTATGCTGCTGAATCACAGATCTACCGCTCTACTCCAGTCCTGTTTCCTTCTGTCCAAACTGAAATCTCAGCCTCCCTCTGATGCCTCCTTGTGGATGGCTAGCCATCAACTCAAGCTCAACAGCTCAAATGTTGATAAGAGAGCTCTTAATCCCCCAAACCAGCTCCCCACTTCCTTTCTTGCTGTTCACTCCAGAATTAGCTGATGGAGTCTCAGGCAATATTTCAAACTCAGATGACAGGCGAGGTCCCAGAAGATTGGAGAAGGTTTAACATAGTGCCTATCTTTACAAAGGGGAAAAAGGAGGAGCTGGGGAACTATTGACTAATGAGCCTGACCTCAATACCAGGGAAGCTACTAGAGCAATGTATAAAACATTCAATTTGCAAATACTTGGAGGATGGAGGGGTAATCGATAGCAGCCAGCATGGATTTACTAAGAACATAGCATGACAAACCAGCTTGATATCCTTCTTTGATAGGGTAACTGGTTTGGTGGATAAAATAGACCTGGACTTCAAAAAGGCTTTTGACACAGTCCCATGAGTAAGCTGGAGAAATGCAGGCTCAACGGAACTCCCATTAAGTGGATATATAATTGGTTACACAACCGCAAGCAAAGAGTAACTATGAACGGAATGATGTCAGATTGGAGGGATTTCTCAAATGGGGTTTCACAGGGATCTGTTATGGGTCCGGTGTTACAGTGGGGGTTAGGTTCTAACGTCCGTGTGTAAGGCAAAATCGCGTATAGTCAAAATTACCATTGAGTGTAATGGCGGGTGGAATCGCCCACACTACAGGTACAGTATTTAAATTGTTGTTGTTCTCTTTTTTTATTTTTTTGCTGAGCGCGTATAGTTAAAATTGTGTAAGTTGAATCCGCATATGATGCGACTCCCCTGTATTTAACATCTTCATTAATGACCTGGATGTAAGAATAGAGAGCATACTGATCACATTTGCAGATGACACAAAGCTGGGGAGGTTGTCAACACTTTGGAGGATAGAGCAAAACTTCAAAGGGATCAAATTGGTGAACTGGGCTATAGACAACAATGAAATTCAACAAAGACAAGGGTAAGGTGCTACACTTTGGGAAGAAAAACCCAATGCACAAATACGGAATGGGCGATAACTGGCATGGCAGCAGCACCGCTGAGAAGGATCTGGGAGTTGTGGTGGATCACAACCTCAACATGAAGTCAACAGTGTGATTCTGCTGCAAAAAAGAAGCAAATGCATTAACAGAAGCATAGCATGCAAATCACAGGTGGTGATAGTACTGCTCTACTCAGCACTGGTTAGGCCTCAGGGGGAGTCCTGGGTCCAGTTTTGGTCACCACTGACTAGACAGGATGTAGAGAAACTGGAAAGAATCCAGAGGCAAGTGACAAAGATGATCAAAGGGATGGAACGCAAACCAATGAGCAAAGGCTGATGGAACTGGGTGTGTTTAGTTTGGAAAAAAGAGTTAATGGGGGGGATATGACAGCGGTCATCAAATATTCAAAAGGCTGTGTAAGTATGTGTGGCCATCCCTCCTGGTCTATCTCTGAGGGAGGCCACGCCTCCTCGCTGTCGTGCTCTTAGCACTGCAATCAATTAAGGGGGAATTAGCAGTCTTCAAAGCTCAGGCCACTTGATCCAGGCTGAGCAATAGTTAATCTATGGTGGCTGGCCCTCAGGCAGAGCTGGGCACCAGTAGTCAGCACTCTGGTCTGCAATCAGGACAGAGCTGCAAAGTCTACAAGCCCAGGCCCTCAGGCAGGGTGGGGCAGCAAACAATTAGGGGCTTTGCCCAGGGCAAGCACCAAACAGTCTAGTGTCCTAGTTCGGTGGATGGTAAGACCAACACAGGCCTCCTGGCCGAAGGTGGGGTGGCAGGAGGTAGGGGGACCCTGGCCCACCTGACTCCACCGGGTCCCAGCCCTGGGCCCAAACAGTGGCAGTGTAGTCTGCCACTGGATCAGTGGGGATCCGCCCACAACACCCTTACTTAGTGTCAGGCCAACACTCAGCCAGACGATGGTCTAGTTTCCCTGGGCTACTTCCTACAATCCCCAGGGTTTGTTATCTCTGCCTCAATTTTCCCGGGATCGGTGGTCTGTGGCAGCCCCATCAGCTCATTGACACCTCGACTGGCTGGCGACCCTGAGAGCTTTGGCCAGTCCTATGGCGGCCGCCCCAGCAGGTCCTCGGTGTCCCGCTCCGGCAGCGGGTGATAAGCATCCGTCTCCCTCAGAAGCTCCAGCCCAACTGAGCTGCAGGGCCCTCCTTTTGTATTTCTGCTTCCTATCCCGCCCCTCAGCTTCCAAAGGGGTGGAGGTGGCTTTCCTGGCTCTGTAGCCCAAAGGGCGGGTTGTGGTCCCTGCTGGTCTTCCCCACTACAGGCTGCCATACGAAGGATGGAAAACAGTTCTTCTCTCTTGTCACAGAGGGCAGGACAAGAAGGAGTGGGTTCAAACTACAGCACAGCAGATTTAGATTAAATCTCAGGAAAAACTTCCTAACTGGAAGAACAGTAGGAGAATGGAACAGACGCCTAGGGCGGTGGTGGAAGGTTATTCACTGGAGGTTTTCAAAAGGAGGCTGGAGCCATCTGCCTTGGGTGGTTTAGTCACAGCAAATCCTGCACCTTGGCAGGGTGTTAGACTAGATGACCTTTGTGGTCCCTTTTAACTCTATGGTTCCATCTAAGGGGAACCAGGGTTCGCACTTGGAAAAAGCTAATACTAGCGTGTCGCACATTAAGGGTATGTCTTCACTGCATCTAGAAGCTGCCTCCCAGCCAGAGTCCATGCTGACTCACTACAAATAAGGGTGTAGGTGCTGTCGGTTGGGTTGTAGCTTGGGTTCTAAAGCCAGGAGTTGAGGGGGTGGGTGGGCTGGATGGTCTGAACTCCAAGCAGAGCCCTAACATCAAAGCAATGTCTCCACAGCCATTTTTAATGCACTAGCATGAGACTCAGCCTGGAAGGCAGCTGACTTCCTGATGCACTGTAGACATGCCCGAAAGAGGGCGGTCCCAAGGGAGACTGTATGAAGGTTGGGTCACCTAACTCCCTGTAAATACATGACCCAGCCCCCTCCCTTGGCACCCTGTCACTGTGCCTTAGTGGGTCACAACTGAGGATGCCAAATTCAGGACGAACTGCTGAGAAAAAGGGCAAATACCACCCAAAACTGGGGGTTATTCTTTTATAAGCTTCTGAGTAGCAGCCGTGTTAGTCTGTATCCACAAAAAGAACAGGAGTACTTGTGGCACCTTAGAGACTAACAAATTTATTTGAGCATAAGCATGCATCTGATAAAGTGGGCTGTAGCCCACGAAAGCTTATGCTCAAATAAATTTGTTAGTCTCTAAGGTGCCACAAGTACTCCTATTCTTTTATAAGACAGACCAAACCAGCCACAAAAGTAAACTCCTGTTTCACCACACTGGCTAACAAGAAAACATAAAGGCAGTTTTCTCAGGCATTCCGGTTCTTATAACGCCACCAAAAACACCGGATTCAGAGATGAGTAGTTTTCAACCAGTGTCATTAAATAATAGTTTCTTCTGATCCCAAAGGGCCAGCCACTCCCAGGTCAATATACAACTTAAATCTTACCCAAAAATCATTCTGGTGCCAATCCTTTAGTATCTAAAATCTAAAGTTTTATTCATAAAAAGAAAGAAAGGTGAGAGTTAAAATTGGCTAAGGGAATCAATTACATACAGTAATGGCAACGTTCTTGGTTCAGACTTGTAGCAGTGATGGAATAAAATGTTGGCTTAAGTCAAGTCTCTGGAGTACATCTACAGCTTGAATGGGTCATTCAGTCCTTTGTTCAGAGCTGTAGCAAAGTTCCTCCAGAGGTAAGAAGCAGGATTGAAGACAAAATGGAGGTGTTTCCAGGGCCTTTTATAGCTTTTGCCATGTGAAGAGCATCCCCTTGTTCTTACTGTGGAAAATTACAGCAACAAGATGGAGTTTGGAGTCACATGGGCAAGTCACATGTTCATGCCCAATTTCCCTCAGTCATTGCAGGAAGCCATTACCTAGATTCCAGACAGCACATTTACATGACAGTCCACTCAGTGTAGATGGGGTTCTCCCATGGTCCATCGTTAACCAAGTGTGTCTTGATGAACCACTTCATTTGAACAGTCCCTCCAAGATGTGCTAGCTAGCTACCTTGTGGGTGTTACCCTGTTATGCTCATAAGAAGCACACGGGATCTTTTTCAGGGGAAAAGGCAATATGCCGCATTTATTGAAGATACAACAATTAGCATATGCATTCAATCACACACCACACACACACACACTATCCCACCAGTCAATGTTATAGTTACCAGTCCAGAGTCCGGATCAACCTAGTGGCCAGCTAGGTTGATCATGGGTAGGAGGAGCCGGGTTCCGTTGGTCATGACACAATGCTCTGGGGAAGTCTTGGCAGGATGAACCCAAAGTTTCCTGGCAAGGCACCCTGTTTATATAGCGATTTTCCTTCATTGGGACCAATGAGTTTTGCACCATCATGCTGTAATCAATTGTTGTTTGACGAGTGCTTGTTTTCTTAAATTGTCCTTCTCATCCTTTATCTTGTTCTTTCATCAAGTTCCTCAGGGAGTTATCCCATGTTGGTTTTCATCACAGCTATCTTGTCCCCATTGATAGGTGCCTGTCTCATCTTTAGAGTCATCAATCAGCCCTCCTCTGACATTTCAATAGCGGCATGTTGCAGCCTCCTGGCGCTCTTGCGTCTGTCTCCAGTTCCTCCCTCATACATCTGGTTCAGCGATGGCCTTCACACTTTCCTCTTAACACGTACATTCCTCATTCACACACAGAACAGAATTAATTTACACAGAACATTTTGAACAGGAACATCAAATTGCAATGCAAAAGAAAACAATCATGACATTCTTTTACTTATTTTAAAATGCTAAACCTACAACAAATTGGTGACCCTCAAAGGTCTGTTACTGCCTTGAAATCAGTCCAGACACAGATTCTGGCTGATGTATCTCTACCCATTGGCCCATTTGTCCATTCCTTTCTGTTATTCAAAAAGGGTGTCTAGCAGGATGTGATCAGATCATACACCAATACACTTAATGCATGCTACATTCTTATTCTTTATCCTTCATTCCAAATTATATAAAATACCAACATAAAATCCTACTACTACATTTGGGGGAAGAGTTTGCGGGAGTTCAGTTCCTCATTTTTATTTGACCTCTCTCCAGCACTTGCTTTGGTTTGGTCTTCCCCTTTCCATCCCTCTTTGAGGTTTCTGTCTCTGTCCCAGCAGGTGATGCAATGGTATGTGACAAAGAGGAGCAGAATTCTCAGAAGGAAAATGTTGAGCAAGTGGATAAACACAGAGCATTATCGCAAAGATCAAAAAGGAATGTGTCCAGGAGTCATGAGCAGGGAAACTCCTGTGAGATTCAGCACAGACCAGAAAGAGAACAGGGAAACCATCCAGGGGAGAAAGTGGGTAAATGTATTTCCTGTCGGGGAACTCAGAAGGACCTCAATGAAACCACAACACAGCAGGAAATCCTCAGGGGAAAGAGAAAAAATACATGCACTGAGGATGGGAAAAATTTATGTGACTACTCAGTCGTTATAAAGCATCAGAGAATCCACACAGGAGAGAGGCCCTATGAATGCTGTGAGTGTGGGAAATGCTTCACTAAGAGCTCATCCCTTTCTGAACATCAGAGAATCCACACAGGGGAGAGACCCTATGAATGCAGTGAGTGTGGGAAAAACTTCACTCACAGATCAGGCTTTTTTCGCCATCAGAGAATCCACAGAGGGGAGAGGTCCTATGAATGCAGTGAGTGCGGGAAAAGCTTCAATCGCAGCTCGCACCTTATTAGGCATCAGATAATCCACACAAGAGAGAGGCCCTATAAATGCAGTGATTGTGGGAAAAGTTTCACTAAGAGCTCAGCCCTTTCTGAACATCAGAAAATCCACACAGGGGAGAAGCCCTACGAATGCAGTGACTGTGGGAAAACCTTCAATCGCAGCTCGCACCTTATAAGGCATCAGAGAATCCACACAGGGGAGAGGCCATATGAATGCAGTGAGTGTAGTAAAAACTACACTACCAGCTCAGCCCTCTCTGAACATCAGAGAATCCACACAGGGGAGAGGCCCTATGAATGCAGTGACTGTGGGAAAACCTTCAATCGCAGCTCAAACCTTTTTACCCACCAGAGAATCCACACAGGGGAAAGGCCCTATGAATGCAGTGAGTGTGGGAATACCTTCTCTTGGTACTCAGACCATTTTAGCCATCAGAGAATCTGCAAGGGAGATCAACACCATAAAAACCTCTAGGGCTATCAATACTTTCTTTTTCTTTAATAATTTTCCTGATTCCCACATAGTAACTTTTGAAGCTGTTTGAACTGTTTGCAGCACTGTTATCCCTCAACTTGACCAGATGAGTGGCCCAGTTTTGCCTTTTTGCAGTTTGCCCTGTTTTTGAGGTGGACCCATTTGTCCTTTCTATCAACTCCATTGTCTCATGAGTAATGCAAGTGTGCCCTTCCTCTCAGGAACCAGGGAGCATCACATTTATACCATTCCTCCTATTGCAAAATTATTGTTAGAGTCACCAATGATTCAGATTATATCATTGCCAGTTATTCTCACATTGCTCTGGGTTGTGCTGAAGAGCAGTTATATTGGGAACTTTTCAAATTATATGTAAATGAAGAGGAGCAAGGGCAGGGAAAAAAGTGTCATTTCAGCCTCTGTGACACCAGAAGGATACGAGGTGACTCAGAGATTCCCTCCTTCCCCATCACCGCAGAACTGTTACCTTTTGTCTGAGCCATGTAGAGTTTATCTTCATCACATTCTATCCATCCACTTCTCAAAGTGTCATGTGATGAAGCATTCTCCGTTGTCTGTGCTTGGAGATGATGCTTTGACTTCTTTAATCCTATATCAGAGTCTCTATGAGTGGAGATGAAAGTGTCAAAGACCTGGAAGGGGAATTCAAATGGATCCCAAACACAGTTTGATCATTTAGAGTTTAAATCCCAGGTTCCATCTATTGGTAAAGCCACTTCTTACAAGGTAGCTATTTTGTCCCCCATTATGGCGATGCTAGGATACAAAAAATGTTGTAAATAACATAACTGACTATTGAAACAGTGGTGAGTGAAGCAGGTTTGAATGGATCAGAGGAGAATGTGATGGGAGAATGTCTTGTCCTGATTCTGAATAATCAGATGTAACTTGCTCTGGAATTTCACTTGACACTTCCATTGTCATATATTCTGTCTCTCTGTGGTATGGGTTTCTATCTTTCCTGAAGGCTCTTTGGTCATCCAGTTGGATATTAGTTCAGTTTGATAAGATGTAGCTCAGATTTATTGGAGAACTTAAGACATATGACCATTTGCTAAAGTCATTATTTCTCACTTCAGCTTTGCTTTTTCCCCATCCCTCCATGATGACATGGAGAAAGTTCAAGTGCAGATCTGTTAACAGGAGAGAACTCTCTAATTTACTGGACATGCTAACAAAGAAACAGCAGTGATTTAAAATCTCCACTTGGAAATGGTGAACAACAGCAGAACCCCAACTAACTGAAGGAAGTGCATATGATCACAGTGTAGTTCAATTGTTGAAGTCAATATCGTCTCAGATGATCTGGGGAGAGAATTCCACAGTAAGTGATTTTGATGTAGGCAAAATGCCCATGTATTTGGTTGCCAAATCATGTGTAGCCCAGGCCCGACAAAAGATCTCTCCTAGCTAATCCTATGTTATGGGGAATGCTGCCCTTCATGACACAGATGTTGAGGAAATAGAAGTGGGTTTTTTGTTGAATTTATCCTTTGTAGGTGTTGAAAATGTGTATAAAATCAATGTTGGAAATCTAATAGCTGCAGAAAAATAGCTATTTTTGAGTAGAATCTCCAGCTCTGGTAACAAACAAAGATTATGATCCAGCCCTGTATCTAGTTCCTTGCCTGGAACTGTGCCACCTAATTAAAGAAAAGCTGGGCATGCTTCGGGAAGCCATTCCTCACTAACATGGCTGAGTTTTTGAGTGGTTTTGTAATGGATTCTACTTCAGAGAAGTGTAAATTTACCCTAACCAAGGCCAAGGATTTGGAAAGAACTGGGGTGGAAAGAATACACACTCAGTTCTTGGTTTCCACCCCAGTTAAGGAAGCTATGGTGACCAATGACCCAAGGAAAATTGTTTGTACAACTCCACTTCCTAGTTCAGTGTCACTGATTACAGTTCCAGAGGATACCAGGGTTAGACTGAGAACAATCATCCTTCACCGTTTGGATGAAAAGAGAGAGTGCTTCATAGGACATTCCTTCCCCGTGAATCCCAAACTGGCTGCCTGATGGGGTAACAAGGACTTTCAGGCTGTAGAAATGATGGTAACCCAGGAGGCAACTAATGTGTCAGGCTCCAATTTCAGACTTCTGGATACACGCATGTTGAGTCCTGATTCTATGGTTTTGTGTCTGATCCTATGGTTACACAATAAAGCTGATGTTGGCGCAGCTGCATAATGTAGCTGCGCTGCTGTAGCACTTCTATTACAGATGCTCTCAGCCAATGGGAGCGATCTCTCCCATCGGACTTTATTAGTGTAGCCCCCACAAGTGGAGGTGGCTATGTTGGCAGGAGAAGCTCTCCTGCTGATGTATCACTATCTACACAGGGGGTTAGGACTGTGTAATTACATTGCTCAGCGGTGTGGATTTTTCACACCTCTGAGCAATATAGTTATACCGAAAAAAAGAAAAAAGTCTTTAGTGTAGACCAGACAGTTCTCTCTTGTGTTTTATGCATTTACATCACTTCTCCTCTATCTTCACCTACTTTGAAAGATTAAAAAGTGTGAAAAGAGAGGTATTTTTCCTCATGATGCACATGGGCCACATATTGCAGAAGATCCTGAGATATATATACTCACAGAAGTGGTTGGGACCTACGCTGAGACAAACCACAACTTGAGCCAGGGTTCAGTTGTTGGCAATGGGCATTAAAAGAAAACTAACATATATGATAAGAATTTGTGATCTTTGAATATGTTCTTGTTACCAATGAAAATGAAATTATAGGTGAAGTTATTGGTTAAAGAATAAGAGACTAATTGTATGATAATCTGAATTATTTTGGAAAAGTGATACTTGTCTTGTTTTTTTGTTTTGTTAGTTGTACAGGAAATGATGGCTAATCTTGAAAAGTTAATTTGATTTAATTTACCCCCTGTAGTGTAAGAAGATCCGGTAGAAAACCTCACTCCAATGGTTGGGATGGAAGAATGTGTGTGAGAAAGAGTGTATAAGAGAATATTGGTCCTGTATAGATTTTAACTTTTTGTGTTTCAAATAGAACTTTTTTTGCTTAGTTTCAAAGTCTATTTCTATTAAATATTCGAAAAGACTAGGTGTATAAGTTTTTACCCACTTAGACTGTAAGGGTTACTGACTTCCCCACTTCTCTAATTTGCAAAGGAAAGACATGACATCTGTCACAGGATGTGTTCAGTAGGTAGGAAAGCTGCAATCGTCAACCATCAATATGAAGGAAAAGTCTGAAGTCCATTACCTTTCAGGTCACTAAGACATCTAAAGGCTGGTCTATGCTGAAAAGCTATGTTGACATAGCCACATCTCTGAGGGGTGTGAAAAGTCCTCTCCACTGAGAGAAGTAGTTAATGTGACCTGAGCCCCACTGTAGACAGTGTTAGGTTGCCAGAAGAATATTTCCAGTGTTTGAAGTGTTGACATAGCTTTAGACAGATTGATCTTCTATGGGAAGCGAGTCATGACATCAATTCCAAATTTGACCCATCTCCCTATATGTGAGAAAGGTACTAGTATGGAGGGCTGAGCCAGCTGTCCGATCGCCTGGTTCCTCAACTGTAGCTACAGCTCTTAGTGCCCATGAATGCAAAGACTGAGAGAAATGGAGAGTTCCAACCATTGTTATTTTAGTATCTTATTGTTCCTTTTTCTATTTTTTGTGCTGGCCTTTCTGTTACATCAGGGTGTGACTGTATAGCTCAGTGCATGTGTGACAAAAGCTTATTGGTGCCAATTGGCAAAGGGGGTCATTGTTATTCACAAGCAACTCCTGTCTCAGACCTGACAAATTCGCCACAGCTTATACACTGCTTTTATTATATTTATCCAGGAAGCGCAGCAGTGAGATCTCTACTGAAAGCTTGTAAATTATTGATACTCCTACGCACTACAAGAGGTGTGTATGAGTCATATTTAAGGAGTAATGTAAGTACATGGAAAATTATGCCCCTATGGTATTGTCGTGAAACTGAGTCATCCCAGTCATAGGTCTTGGTGGGGACTGCCCATTCAAGTGGGAGGGAATTGTCTTCTGTTCCTTGCTGACCAGTTATGCGATGTATTGCTCAATTGTTAATCTTTGCACCAACCCGGAAAAACGAATGGAAAACCATCAAAGACAAACTATAGACATTGAATCCCTGTGAAAGTGAAAAGGACAATATCACAATGAGGAGATTGTCCTTTCTGTGAATAAAGAGAAAAGACTGATTCAGTTTATAACAGGGTGGAGAAAAACACTCTGGGTCCATTCACCAAGGAGATCCCTACTGACCAGTGGTTCTTTATGAAAGGCAGGGCCCTGGCTTCTAGGGACTAGCAATCATTGCAATAGACTGACGTGTGAGGTGAAAATCTACTTAGATAGGAAAGGTAACTATTAAAAAGTGTAGGTTGCATTTTGTGATTTTGTTTTGTTGGTAACGGTTGGTTTCCATCACTCACATTTGATTCTGTTTAAATCTCTATCCCTTGTGAAATAAATTTCCATTTGTTCAGTAACTGTACACAAGTGCTGTGTGTGATACAGTAGCAGTGGTCTACAGTAAAACTGGTAACCTGGTATGTACCATTGCTTCGGGAAGAGAGGATCTGGGATTTCTCTGAATATCTGGTGATCGGGGCTGGACTCCAGAGGGGGACACATTGAAGGAACTCAGGGGTTCCTCTATTGTCAACTGTCAGGGCTGCTGCAGCTCAGAAGAGGGTGCTTGAATGTATGACAGGCTGGGTGAGTTTCATCGCTGACATCCAGCTGCCAAATGTAAAAGTCCCTCTTTCTAGTGGCAGGTGGCAACAAGGAGACTCACAGCCCTCAGCACCCTGAGAAGGGTCACAATGTGCATCCACCTCTGAAATCCACACAGCGAAGGCACCCTCTGGCATAGATAACTGAATCAAAATAGCCCTAAAACTCTGCCCT